ATTATTATTATTATTATTATTATTATTTAAAATTGATGAAGAGTAATTTCGCTTAAAGTTGCTTGAAAACCAATATGTCAGCAATTTTAGCTAGATCAGTTTCTGCATTTTCTATACAAACTTCAAAAGTAAGTTAGCTCGTGAAGTTCTTAAAGTTCAAGCATAAAACCAAACGTATTTTTTCTTATTGCTTAATCCTTCACCTCAGCTATCTTAATTTGTCTTGACAAGCAAAAACTAAAGTTACTATAGTTAATAGTACTGTAATTTTGTGATAAAATAATAACAATAATTAGTTTAGCTGAGAAATTGGATTAAGGAAAATTTCCTCTTGACCGATGAAATTGAAAACAGCGATGAATCCACTCTGTCTACTCGTTTCATTAGTTTACGAAGCAATGAACTGCTAATTATCAGAATGAATGAAAACAAGAAGGTAACTCCGCAAAAAAGTCTTTAGCTAGTAGTAATTAATATTTAAGCTTTATTAAAAGGATTTACTAAATTTATTAAAGAATTTTTATGACAAAAGCAAATTTTGTCTCAGTTTTGTCGATCAATTCCTTGCATTATGACTGTATCAGAGATGATAAAACCAATCAGCTGATTCAAGTATTGGTAGATTCCTTCAACATAAACGAAAGCTCATCAAGGAAAGATTCTGATTCCTTCCATTACGTTGAAAGTAATTAATTTTAATTTATTTGTAATTGATGCATTAATTTGACAGGTAACGATTCAAAGCAATGATATGGAATTAATCGGTAATATTATTCAGTCGATGGCAGAAAGCTTCGGGATTCCTGAATTGCAAATAACGGCTCATTTTCCTAATGAAATAAGTAAACTTCGAGATCTTACCGCAAAAGTAATTCTTAAATAATCAATTATTTTTTAAATTATTTTGAATATTTCAGTTGAAATAAAGTTTGAATATGGCTTATAACATTTAAAATTAAAGCATTGAAAACGGATTGTCCTAAATGAAAAATTCAAATGCATTTGCTTATTTCTTATCAAAAAAATGTTATTTTCAACTAGTAAATATTATTTTTAAAAATATAACAATAGCAAATTAGTTTGGTATTTAAATTAATTCAAATTCAGTACACTGCTTAAGTTTCAGTTGCATGATAAGTATATCATTCGAGATCAGTTATCAGCTACAATAGCAGAACGATCTAATTCAATTAAGGAAATGTTAGTTCGAATGGAAGATGCGCGAATCATTAAGCAGTAGTAAGTTTATCTTCTGCTAATTATAGCGAGTTTAGGTAAAAGGTCATGCAACAGGAAAGAATATTTTTGATCTTTTGCTTGAGCTTATGAGCTGAACTTATTTAAAATCTTTCTAAAAAATCTAAAATACTTACTTTCTAAATTTAACCAGGCATTACTTATGACTAAACCGGAATGTAAATATTAGTTTAAAGCTTCACAAATCTCTTATTAATTGTTTTGTTATATTCGAAAAACTTTTCAGTGGTTTGATGCGTAAGTATTGCTTAAAATTGCATACACTGAATCAGGCTATATTAGCTGAGCATAAAGTTCGCTGTAATAATCATGAAGAGTTGCTTCAAATTCTTCGTAATCTCAATAAAATCATCGAAAAAGGCGCTCGACTTCGAGGTTACATTAATTATATAAATTTAAATTTATTTTGCAGAATTCATTAAACTTTCACAGTTTATGTGACCAAATGAATGACCACTTAAAATGTATTAAATATCAAGTAATCAGTTTTCGTTTTATTAAGTTTACTTACTACAATATAAATATTACTGTAAAAATTGTACCAAAATGTACATATTTCAATTATTGCGTTTTGATATAGCAAATGTGTAATATCAGAATCATTCATTTGAAATCTAAACTTAATTTTTGTTTGTGTAATTGATTTTAATTATCTCATTGTGCTAATACTTATTATGTGCAATTTTTTTGATTAGTTTTCCATGAATTCTACTGAAGTCTTTAACTCATAGAGAACTATGATTCTGATATATTTTCAAATTAATTACTTCTATTTTAGTCGGTGCGCCAGCTAGTAGACTAATCTCGGCAAGTCGAGATGCAATTCTCCAAGAAGATTTCGATATGTTAGCAAGAATTATTCTATTTGGTGTTTAATCCATTAATGATAGCAATTTAAGCATATTCTACATATAAAATATGAATTAATAGTTTTCAATATTAATTGGGAAAAGAATTATGATTAAAAGATACAATAAAAACGAGTAGTATTCGGAAAGTAAAAAATATTTACGACATATTCGGTAAACACTCGCAAAACCATTCGTTTATATTCAAATTGAAGACATATTTTAATCAAAAAATATAACTAATAACTGTCTTAATTACGCATAAAACGATGTAAAATATTATTAAAGAATTTTATATTTTAAAATTACAGAACAAAAAAACGAGCCAAAATTTGGCAACTACAATTCGGCGACGAGCTCTTCTCTTTCTTTTTGATTCAATTCGCTTGCTAAAAATAAACAAATATAAATTTAAAAATTAATAAACTGATTACTTAATAAGTTTACATGAACTAAACTTTGATTACTAATTTTGAGAGAGTATTGCAAATTCACTCAGATCGAATAATTTTAAAGCAAGAAAATAAAATCAGTATTGCATATTACATTATATTATTTTATATTAATCATTTTTTGGCATAATTAATTGCTTACCATATTGTCCGCAATCAGGAAGACGACCTTTCACCCGAGACTGGTCAAATTCTCGACCATATTTATCGACGCACCAGCAGAAATTTTCATGGCATTGTTCGGCTTTATAATATCCTTCTAATGTACAACGTGGATGAAATGCACCTCAAATTTAATACATCGATAATAATTTTTTTTTAATACTTTTTTGGTTATACTTTTCAAATTCCTTTAAAAGTAATTTGTAAATAAAGTCAAATCATCAATACACCTGGTTACTGTCAACATAATTTAAATCATTAATATGAAAATTTTTATTTCCAAGCATTTTGCATATCACAGATGAACTGAAGAGGTTCAAATTACATCTATCTCATCATGTTTTTAAAAGTATTCTTGCGTGACTAAATTTAAAAAATTATTAATAATAAATTATCAATAATAATACTTACTAATTATGATTATAAAGTAATAATACCTAATCTGTGGGGATCTTGTTCATGTTTTGCTGCGTGACATGGTGGTTCGTGACGATCATCATCAGCCCACGTAAAGCAATCGCACCATTCCTCCAACGTAATCACGTTATCACTGCCAGGTTCCGTGTCTGTCAATTGGATAATACTTCAATAAATTTTATTTATACCTTATGTCGACATATATAAACTTAACACAAAATAATGACTGCTATAATTATGAAAACGGTGCAATAATAATAATTATAATAATAATAATAATTATTATTATTATCATTATTGAGTATTAGTATTAATGATATTATTATGTTTTGAGATTATTAAAGTGATAATAAAAATGCTAAAATCATTTAGTGTATGTAGTAAATAAATAGCTTTTTTCCAGTACAGTCTGTATATTTTGCATAAGAACAAAGAAGTTAGAAGTAAAAATGAAAAATTTATTTGCTAAACCAAAAATTATGGTCTAAAATGCAATTTCAGTATAAGATTTATTACCACAGTGGTCAATAAACACTTTCAAACATTTTTCGTTGGAGTCCATCTCCAGGGGTGCCAACTCCTTCAAGTCCAGTTCTCCGTCATTGTTACCATCCCACTGTTGGAACATCCAAGCGACATCTGCGCGACATGGCGTTTTATGCTCTAAAATCACTTACTTGAATTTATTATTCATTTCTAATATTTATATCTGTCACTCAATTCCATTCCTTAATTTAATTTTGAATTTGAAAATACTCTGATTCATTTTGTTATTAAACTTAATTGTGCTAAATAGCAGTTTAATCTTCATGCTTGATTTTCGCCTGTCTAAATAATACTTCAGTATTAGCGATTACAATGACTATTTAAAGCTTATAAAGTAAAAATAATGAATGTTTACTTTAATTTACGTTTGCAAATTGTTGGCGAGAAACTAATAGATAGTTTTTTTGCTAAGTTTCTGCAACAAATTGCTTCAATTATACTATAAAATTGGTCTTAGGTCATATTTCGGAAAAGGTCAAAGTTCTGTTTAAAAAAACACCGAAAAATAATATTATAAAAAACAACTATAATTACATTAAGTTAAATTATATCTATTAATACCGCAATATAAAATGATTTGAGTGTTTTCTTGTTATTCAGTTAATGCTTTCTTTAATACTGCTTGAACAATTTAAGGACAACTTTGTATATTTTATTTTTTGAAGATTAATTTGACTATACATCTGAATACTGGGAAATAGCAAAACGAATTATTTATATTTATAGTGTAAGTTGGGATTATGATAAAATTTTTTCTACATATTGTACTTTACTTTTTAAATTTTGATAGCTGAAATAATATTTTCGTTTTGACAATACTTAGATTAAAAATAGTCATTTTAGTAGTAAAATTAGTTAGTTAATTATATGTATTTAATTTTGAGGTAATTAAGTTCTGATTAATTGCCGTAGAATTAGCATGAAATTTTGGAGAATTTAATTAAACTTTTGACAATTGACTTTCCATGACCTTTTCCAAATGAATAAATTAATGCAAAAAAATGGCAGAAACATATGTAAATGTAAATTTGATTCTTCATCACGTTTATAACTTGTCGTTAGAGATAATCATCAAACTTGCGCACCCTATGCATGTAATTTTTGTTTTATATTTTCAAGGCTTTTGCTCGGTGATTTTTTAAAAAAGTATTTCCCTATGCAAATTTTGTAAGCATTTGAATATTTTTTTTTCTTAAGAATAAAAATGATTTGTGTTATGAAAAATTTGCAGCGTAATTTATTTTATCTTTTGAAATTACTTTTAATCATTTTCTTCAGTCAATATGTGCATATATATACGTACAAACACGTTGATATAGTGCGTAATTATTGCGTAAAAAGAAAGATATAAGTCAAACTTTGTGATAAAATAGATTACTTACTTTTTCTGATAGCTTAGAAGTTATAGCTCTGGAAGAATATGGTTATTTTGGAACTAATCTTAATCTCATTTGAAACACAATTAGATTGATCTCTAAAAGTATACTTAGATAACTCTGATAAAGTTAGCAAAAAAAATAATTCCGTTAGACAACCATTCTGTGAGCGAAGTAAAAGTATACAAAATAGTATAACAAATGATAATTTAAAACTTGAAAACGAGAAATTGCAAAAATTATTAAATTATTTACTTATTTTGTTCTAAATTAAGTCTTAATCTGATCGCATATTGATTGGATTAATTCATCCTGATTCTTTTTTCCAATCATTTCGAATGCAATCTTGAAGCAATAATGAATTCACATTAGCCTTTGCATTATTATAAAATTTGCAGTACTTATCGGTTTTTGTAATTTGAAAAAGAAACTGAATTGGAATATCATTCTTGATTGAGTTCCAATTCCAGTTTTCCATCATTCTCTCTCATCGTTGGTTGAAATAAAAATGCCAGTCAATTCTATTCATATATACCTCATTTCATGCTATTAATTTGATATTCATTTCAAATAATTTTATTTTTGCTAATTACTTTTATTATCATTATGCATATTTATACAAAGAATACTCCCTATAATTCTCTTGTTTTAATAATTTAATTTTTGCTAAATATTAAATGAATGTTTTTTCAGTCTGAACTTTTGGACTGCGCAGTAACTATAATTGCAAAAAATGCTAAATTCACTTTGTGTGCACTTTTATATATACTTTACAAGTGAATAAAATAATTTATGCTTCTTTAGCTAAGGTCGGAGTCGAAATTTACTTGAATGAATGGAATAAAAAATTTGCATACAATTTATTCATTAATAATATTTTGGCTACACATATTGTCTTCAGTCTGTAATGCATTAATTAGTTATAATTACTTAACAAAATATAAGGTCTGCTTAAATTTCTCAGCAATTACTTCGAAGAAAATGTGTATGCTGCACTTCAAAAATATGCAAAATTTTGAGGGTCAAACGTTGGAATTAAAATTTTGTGCTATTTGTGAACGATGGATGAATTGCCTGTCAACTTGATCAGTATTGAAATTCGTCATCAGCAATGATGATTGCAATTTTAAAATTTCCCTTAAATGATTTTAAGGGGCACATAAGTTTATTATCTATCTTTCTATCTTTATATCTTGTCACTAATAAAATAAACGACAGATAGATGAACTGATAGATCAGTTGATAAATAGGTAGATGGATAGTAGATAGGTAGATAAATGGGTAGATAGCAAGGTAAATAGATATGTAATAGGTAATAGGATTATTATTCACCTCGTACCTTAGAAAGTAGAACAATATATCTCAACTGAGATATAATTGGACTAGATGACTAAATATATAAATATGTAGATAGACATTTAGATAAATTAATTTTTGTAATGCATTTTTTAATTAGTATTTTTAGTACTGTTTTTAATCAAAAACCTTTTAGAAATTTTCACATCCATAATTTCCCTGCTAAATGTTTTGCAGAAATTTAAATTTGATCTGTAAATTAACATAAATTAAAATGAGCATTTTGACATGTAATAGATGTAACTTGATGTCCACGTTCATAAATTAAGTAATACAAAAATAAGGATAATGAAAAAATTACTGAGCTTACTTCCATACAAATATTCTGCAAGTGATTAAAATACAAAAACTTTATGATCATTAGTGCAGTTGTATGAGTTGCTAAAGTCTTTTTAAGAATTAAGTATTAGAGCTATTTTAATAATTCTCCCGGTAGCTAAAAATGATATCATCAAATTTGAATAAATACCAAATACCTTATGCAAATTTGTGATTGCAATAAAAGTAATTAACATTTTATAAATAAATTTTGTATAATAAGATATTGGCAATAATGGGCATGAACTTAGAAATGCGAAGAGAATTGTAAATCTCTTCGTTTGCTCAGCTCAAAATCATTGATAATCCAATTATAGTGGCTGATAGATATGGCACAGATTTACAATATTATCACTTCACCAATCACAATCACACTGTCTCTTATTATCACAACTGACATCAAATTTATCTTATCAGTCTACAAATATACTTGTTTGATCAATAATGAGTGTGAAAATTACTCATGCCTAATTTGTACATTACCATATCCAAAAAGTAATCTTTTCAGATTTTGAACAAAAGTAAGACAAAAGATAAAAAGGTGTGATATTTCTTCTATCAGTAATTTATAACTATACTTTTTGATAATTTCGAAAATATTTTTAAATAGTAAGCAAAATTTGCTCGCTCAATCCATCATTACTGCTTTTATATTTTTATTTCCTTATTTTTGAAAGTTTTTTTGATTTAAAAATTTTTTTGCTAACTGACTTTGTGGTTATGGTACGGTAGTGTTTTGAACAAATTTTTCAGGTACTGAAAAAAGTGCCATCACATGACAGACTGATTCCTTCACTGTAGAATTCATAAAGTAGTTGTTCAATCACAGTATTTTCTAGATTGTTATGAATAGTACTGTTATAGAATATTTATTAATTATTAAGAGAAAATAAATGATTAATTCAATTTTTTAGATAAAGTATTGATTGCGTTAATTTTTTCTGTATTGATAAAAACTTCAGTACTGAAAAACACTAAATAAAATTGGCGTAAATTTACAGCAAAAATCAGAGTAAGACATTTATTTTACGCATCAATGCCTCAGTGATCAAGATTTCAAGACTATTTTGACCTGGAAAGTTTCTTGATTGACCTGATCAAATAAATCTGATCTGACTTGAAAAGTACCATAATTACTTTAGAAAACAAATTTGCTTTGATCTGGAAAACCTGCTATGTTACAACGATCGAAATCAATCACTTACAATGATCAAAATGAAAACATTCAATTTGGTACTACTGCGCAAGTTAATCTAATGCTGTACTCAATATGCAATGGTTTATTTGCTACTTTTGCTTTCTTCTTATTTTTATATTTTGTTTTTAGGTAAGTATTTTATTTATTATTTAAAATTTATTCAATTATCAAATAAATGCAAAATATTTCATGTAATGCAAAATATTTTTTACTGCCAAGTAAAACAACTTCCACAAATATTACATCCAATAGTAATTAACGCAAGAATAAAACTCAAAATAAAATACAAATTACTCAAATTTTGCTCTATAATATAATAATATTTGTTTGCTTCATATTATCATAATATTTTTTACTGTCAAAAGTAGTAACTGATTAGCTTTCATTAAATGCCTGAATTAATCCTTTACTTTCCGTTAAAAAGTCATTTTATAAAGTAAGCAATTGAATCATACTTAATCATAATTAATTACAAAATTAAATCAATTATATTAATCTTTTCAAGAATTGAGTATTAGTTAGCTTAAATAATTTACATCTTCAAATTATGCTTTCCTAACAACTTGTAAAAATTTAAAGGCAAGTCTCAAAAATTGCTTGACTAAAATCAAAAATAACAAACTATTACAATTGTTTGCTAATATCATTTAGAATGAATCTTTTCGTTGCAAATTTACAAAAATTAATTACCACAAAATACAGTTTTTTCTCACGCACGTCAAAAGTTAATATATTTCTAGCAACATTAATTTTGTTAGTTTTGATTATAAATGATGCAAATTTTTGCTGCTTTTGATTTATGTAAATTTACGTACTAAATGTTTTCAAGTCTTTTTGAAGTGTAGCGATTTTCCGTATGAAAAAACGAGTTAATAGTAATAGTCGATGTAAACTGCGCAAAATAAAAAAGTAAAATTGCGATTGTAAATTTGGAATTTAAAGGAAAACCGAAGCAAATTAACATTTTTGCCC